CTACGGGCTCCTCGCAGCGGGTTTTCCCGGGGGTGCGCGGCTCCGACTTCCGCGCGAGTCGCTTGAGAATGCAATGCCATCGAAAGCCTTTCTTGGCCGAGGTGGGCGCGCGTGTCGCCGAGATGCGCTAACCGAAAATGAGGGCGCCGTCGAAAGCAAAGCGTTCGAAGGTTAGACAGAAAAAAAACGACCCCCCCAGTGGGGCCCCCAGGAGAGACCAGGCCACGCAGGCACCCCGAAAGCCCCGAGAGGCCTGTCTTCTTCTAGCTCCTGATTCTCGTCGCGCACCCCGGGGCATAGGGCACAGGCGCAGAGCCCTTTTGGGCCCCCAGGAGAGACCGCGCCACGCGGGCCCCACAGAAGCCCCGAGAGGCTTCCACTTGCCCAAGCCAAGAATCCACTATTGCCCAGGGCAGCATTGCAGAGGTAGACTACTGAGCAGGCGCGCTTGTTTAGCTCGAGATGGCGCCACCGAAGAAAGCGCGCGCAGAGCGCGCGAAATTCACTATACTTGTCAGGGTCCCAGACCTGCCCCAGGAGTGAGATTGCGTCGCGGAGGCGCCGATGCCGGCGCAGCTGTGTCGCAAACGGCCCCGGGCCCTCAAAGACTCGAGTGGCGATGGCGACGCGGGTTCCTCTCTCAAGCCAGCCGCGCCCTGCAACGTCGCCGAGCCTGCGCGGCAGGGAACGGCGCGTCCGATCCCATGAGCCCGAGTTCCAGTTCGCCACGACCCAGGGAACAAATCCGACTCCTCTCGGTGCTCGGCGAGATGGGCATCGCTCCAGCGCAGCCTCTGCTACCGACGCCATCCCAGACAGAGCCTACCGCGGTGGAAATCAGGTACCAGGAACCAAGCAACAAGAGACCGTCCGTTGCAGCCGAGCTGCCAGATGCGGGTCGCACGCAGCCGCCAGCAACCCCTCCGTCGAAGAAGCCATCCAGGCGATCGGGGAGGGCAAGGACGGGGCCCAACCGGAGAAGAAGGCGAAAATGCCCGATAGCTACGGTGGAGATCCGCAGGAGAAGAGCATGAGGCCGACGCCCAACCTGTCTGGGATTACCAGGCAGCCTTGAGCGCGACGGTGTCCACGCCCAGCCAGACGAAAACGATTGCCTCCAGCAGCTCGCTGGGATCCAGCGGCGATGTCATCGACCTGGGCGCAGACTCCGCGCCTCCGCAAGGTGGGTCGCAGGCCCGCCGGGATGACTGCGAAGTCGATGGGGCGCAGCCGCCTTGGGACCCTCTTTTATAGCTTTGTTGTTTCGCGCGCCACGTGCAACAACGCACAGGCTCGCCTGCAGCGCGCATCAGGGCATGATGTCGGCTCCAACGGGGGATGGAGCTTGCATGCGCTTTATAATTTCGCTATGGTTCAGCTGTTTCATCGAACGTTAGTGCTGGGATGTGGCGCTCAGTTTCTAGGAAAGGGCCATCACCATCGAAGACATCATAACACAGAACAATAACGATCACCATCAACATCATGGGCATCAGCAGCAAACATCGCTACCAAACAATGCCAGGAACACCTCGAACAACAATGCGAGGGTTCCTAAAAGTAAACCCACCCTCCCCGAAGGCCCTTGACGGTCTTCAAAGGTTTCGAGACGCCCCTCACATCGACTCGCGCGCCCTGTCAAACAGCGGGCCCCAGGCAACCCTGCAGAGACCCGCAAGATGCCACAAGAGGCCCCGAAACACTCCCCTAAAATTCCATATGTGAAACCGTTGTCATTGTTTGAGCTTCAGAGTCAGATGTGGTGAGGAAGTCTCAGGCGAAACGCCCGGCCCGCCCTGAAGACTGGGCTTCGGGGTGCGACAGGGAGGAGTTATACATAAGGAGAAGGAATCGAGGAGGATGAGGAGGAGAAGAACGAGGAGGAGGAGGAGGATGATAATGATGGGGGAGGAGGACGTGGGAAGACAATGGGGGAGGAGAGAGGAGAGAGGAAATGCAGGAGGAACAGGAGGAGGTGGTGGATGAGGAGGAGGAGGAGGAGGAGGAGGGTGAGGAGGAGGAGGAGCAGGAAGAGGAGGAGGAGGAGGAGAGAGGAGAGGAGGAGGAGGAGGAGGAGGAGGAGGAGGAGAGGGAGGAGGAGTAGGAGGAGGAGGAGGAGGAGGAGGAGGAGGAGGAGGAGGAGGAGGAGGAGGAGGAGGGGGGGGGAGGGGGGATCATTCTGATTCAGCTATGGGCGGGATCCTGTTGCTTGTAAACAGCACGACGCACGATCATTTCACGAACGCGTAGAAGACGATGGAGAAGCATCCAACGATGAAATCACACCGACACGAGTACATCTGTAAATACGGCCCATTCCAGCAGCACGTTCAAAGTATGTCGCGATCTGCGTGCTACATTCAACCACCAACCAGACAAGGAATTCATCAAACACACAACGCGGACCACGTTGCCAGAATCCTGCGCTACAGCCAGCATGCCCTAAGACGCAACACGGCCAACAATGTAGTCGCGTGCAGCAAGACGTGATACGCGTAGCAAGCCACACCCGCACGACGTGGCCGAAAGCGGGTCGCTTTCAAATTGTGGCTCTCGCCTTAGCGCCGCGCGCAATCATTTTAACACTTTGCAAGAGTTTCACGGATTGTAGGCGGGTGGTTTTCAACATGTGGCTCTCGGTTTAGCGCCGCGCACATTCGTTTAAACAAATTGCAAGAGTTTCACGGATTGATGGCGGTCGGTTTGCAAAATGTTGTTTTAGCCCTAGCGCCGCGCATTTTCGTATTAACAATTTGCAGCATCTTCACGGATTGAGGGCGATTGGTTTTCAACATGTGGTGTTCGCTTGAGCGCCGCGCACACTCTTTGAAAACACTTGCAAGAGTTGCACAGATGTCCATGATCGACGCACCAGCAAGTGTGTTTTGGAAGGATTCAGGATTACGCGGGCGCATCAGTTATGTTGATTCGCTGTGTCGAAGTGCAGCACATGACGTCTCTGCACGATTCTGGATCGTCAAGACGCAGCAGTCAGGTTGGTACCTGGCGTTGAAATCCAGAGGACAATTTTTGACACGCTTCAGGATGTTCAAACTGTTGTCTTCCAGCGAGGTAGTTTCTTTCCTCAGTGAAAATAAGCCGCTGTGGGGGCCTATGAACAGGGAGCGTGGAGGGAGGCTTAATTCCAACATCGTTGATGACTCTTGGATTTTCACTGGTCCTCCTCCTCTTCCTGGTCCCTTCCCCCTCCCTTCCCCCTCCCTCCCTCCCTCCCCCCCGTCTCTCAGGAAGGAAAGGACGGAGGCGGACCAAACGGCAAATTCAGGGGGCGAGGGCGAATCGTTCTGTCCACGCCGCCACGCGCCGCCCCCCCGGACTGCCAGCACCTCGGCTCGCTTGGCTGCGCTTGGCTGCGGGCCACGGAGCGTCGACGCTGGGCCCGTCGACCATCCCTCCCTTCCCTTCCCCTCCCTCCTCCCCTCCCTCCTCCCCTCCCCTCCCCTCCACAATTACTCAATATGAATACTACCCTCCTCCTTCCCCTGATGACGGGTTGGGAGTGTTCGCCCCCCCCCCCCGCGTACTGTTTTTTACACAGGATTCTCTGAGTTGGGTTTTCGCCTGCATTTTCGGGCCCCGCTCGTTCTGAATCGTGCTCCCGGTGCAGCGTTGGCCTCATTTCCGTGCTTCCGCTCGTTCCGAATCGTGCTCCCGCTGCAGCGCTGGCCTCATTTCAGCGCTTCCGCTCGTTCCGAATCGTGCTCCCGCTGCAGCGCTGGCGTCATTTCCCGTGCCATGCCACGGCATGCAATGCAATGCTTGCGTTCCGCTGCGCGATGCCATGCCTTCAGCTGAAGCTGTGATATGCAGTGCTTAAGTGCCACGTCGTGCTATGCCATGCTACGCTTTGATCTTCAACGCCATGCTATGCAATGTTATGTTCGGGGCCGCTGTGCGATGCCATGCTTTGCGTTGCAAAGCTTTGTGATGCAATTCTTCACTACGCCACGGCACGCCATGCTGTGACATACTACGCTTTGCGGTGCTCTTCTACGCCATGCCATGTCGTGCTCTACAATGCATCGCGCACCCTTTCGGGATCATTGCCCTGCTCGACATCCGACTGTGCGAGTAGAGAGGGGATCTACGCCATGGTAAGGGATGGGAGGGAGGGGTAGGATGTCAGATATGACGCGAGCGCACCTAGCTTGCCATCCCTCCCCTCCCCTCCCTCCCTCCTCCTCTCCCTCTCCTTCCCTCCCTCCTCCCCCTCCTCCCTCCCTCCTCTCTCCTCTCTCCTCCCCTCCCTCCCTTCCCGCCCCTCCCCTCCCTCCTCCCCTCCCTCCTCCCCTCACAGGAAATGGCAGGCCCCCCTCCTAACACACAGAATTCCTGGGAAACTTGGTTTGTTGTTTAAAATGCTGCTCTCGCTGGTGCGCTGGCTTCATTTTCAGGCCACCGCTCGTTCCGAATCGCGCTCCCGCTGCAGCGTTGGCGTCATTATTTCCAGCGCCATGCCACGGCACGGTTGTGGGTCCTTCCAAATAGGCTCCAAGATCTGGAAAATGCCCCCCGAAGAAACCATCGGAAGTGATTACACATTCGGTGTAGATTTGTTGATTTTCTGGGCCGCAGAAGCCCCCCCTCCCACTTTGGGGCGTCGCCACGCCATGCTATGTCAGGCTCCGCGTTGATCTTCAACACCACGCTACCGTCATGTAATGCTGCGCCGTGCTACGACATCCGATTGTGCGACTAGACAGCATACCGACGCCTTTGTAAGGAATGGGCGGGAGGGGTAGAATCGGAGGTGGATAGACCTCCTACCCTGACACGTCGATTAAGGAATGGGCCGTTTTCGGTTCGCGAGAGGGCGTCGCGGCCGTCATTTTTGCGGGTCCAGGTCCGTCGGTTTCGGTCCCAGGCCGCTTTCACTAAGGGGAGGTCCACTAAAGGGAGGTTCATACACCGCCGATAGAACGTCAGACATGCCGCGAGCGCACCCGGCGTGCCTCCCTCCCATCCCGCCCCGCTGCCGCAGCCGCCCGAGGCTGCCGGAGGGGCGGGGCGGGGCGAGGCGCCGGGCGCCGGGCGCGGGGCGGCGCCCTGGGCACCCGCGCCGCGGCTCCCTCGGCATGGCGGGCGCGAG